CATCATAAAAAGATTTAAGTTGCCCAAGACTTCAATTTTCCTGGAGTCACAATCAATATTCATGGAGGCAGCAGTCAAGAAATCAAATGATGTATATTGCATTAGGCAAATCTTCTGCAAAAGAGCTCTTTAAAGTATTAAAGAGCAAAGATATCATTTTGAGGACTAAGGTACGCCTGACCCAAGCCATGGTATTTCCAATCACCTCAAATGCATGTGAAAATTGGGCAATGAGTAAGGAAGACTGTATCTCAACATGAATGCATTTGAATTATGGTGTTGGCAGAGAATATCAAAAGTAATCTGTCTTGGAAGAAGTACAGCCAGAATGCTTAGAGAATAACAAGACTTCATCTCTTGTACTTTGAATATATTATCAAGAGGGACCAGTCCCTGGAGAAAGAAGACATCATGCTTGGTAAATTGGAGGGTCAGTGAAAAAGAGTAAGACCCCTGAGGAGATAGACTGACACAGTGGCAGCAACAATGGGCTGAAAGATAACAATCGTGAGGATGCACAGGACTGAGAAACGTTTCATTATGTTGGACATAGGGTCACTGTGAGTCAGAACGTATTGATGGTATCTAATAACAACCTAATGGATATTGCAAAAATAACAAAATCTGATTTCTGAATCTATCATAGAAGACATTGCAGCTTCTGCTTTGCTCTCTTGGATCAGTTTAGTTCCAAAACCCATGCCTTCTGTTGCAGACTATACTAATGATGGATACAGCAGTAGCTTCCATTCACCATGCTCTTCTACTTTGTCACCCTTCCATCAAGAGAAAGCATTTGTCTCCTACCCTTGAAGCTTCTGAATGTGCTTTGACCAATAGAATACCAAGAATGTGAGGTTATGTGACTTCTGAAGTCAGGTTTTAAGCTGTGATACAGCTTTAGGTCTGTTAACTGGAACACTTGTGCCCGGAGTCTTGAGTCAGCATACCATGTAAGAAGTCTAAACACCTTAAGGCCACCATACTGTGGGAGGCAGAGCTATATGGAAGACATCTGTAGTCACTTTAGTCAGCATTACATGGCTTCAAGTCATCTCAGCCTGGTCACCAGTCATGACATGTAAGTAAGCAGAACCTTCAGAGGTGATGCCAGTTTCATTAAGTCACCCTCAACTTTTTAATTTTTAAGTTATTGTGAATTGAGTGAAAGTTTACAGGGCAGGGCATCAGTTTTGCATTCAACAAATCATATACTTTTTTTAAAAAAATCATATACTTTCATTATAATGATTATAATCCCCTTCATGTACTGTCAGTTAACAGTATTTCTATTCATTTTAGCTTTTTTTTAAACACTCAGGTATATATAATAATTTAAACCACCTAAGTGCACGTTCTGCCAGTCTGCCTCCTGGCTGCCAGCTCAGTCCCTCTTTCCATGAATCTAGAGTCCTCACAGCTGCTCCCTTTTTGCATGTCCCCATCTCTGGTGTCACTGCTTCTCTGGATAGCGTCCTACATTCCACTTGTGCTCTTCTTCCTTGATGGTCCAAGGGTCCTCTGTCTCTGGACTGTACGATTAACTTCTCCCCCGTTTTTGTTACAAAACTTCTACCTTTATTACAATTGTGACAGTCACAATTATTCACGGTAACAATTACTATTGAATCATAACTCTTATCCCCATCTTTTCACCAGACCCATCTAGACAAGATGAAAACTATTCAGTGGGGACTCTACCTTCCCCCACACACTCTTATACTCCCTTTTGAAAACTTGTTTAAGCCAGTCACTTTGTGCCTTTATTGCCCCTCATTTTAGGTAGCCAATGTCTAAGTTGCACGTCCCCTATCAACTCTGCAATACAGAGGGGATAGCATTAATACTTAATGTGAAGACTCCTTCCCTCGGTTGGTATTTTGAGCTACTACATCCATAAGTATAGGTCAAGTTCATCAGATTATAGCAATATACCCTCGTTTTCTTTATCCAAAAAAAAAATTTTTTTTTCTTCCTCTAGTTGAGTTCTGATTATCAAGCCATCGAGGCTAAGCCAAATGGGTACTATGTGCAAGTTTGGGTGTTCCTGCTAAATAATTGAGAATGTTTAACACAAGAAAGGTGATAGTTAACATAGCCTAGAAAGCTCTATTTAGAAAAAATAAGTTGTCTTTGAGTTTTCAGAATGGCCCAGGATATGACAGTGCTAATGTCTGCAAGGTACCTCTAAGTTACAATCTACAAGACCAGGAGTCCTCATGTGGCGCTGTAGGATCAGCACTGGACTGCTAACCACAAGGTCAGCAGTTTATACCCATCAGTCACTCCTCTGTAACCCTATACAGGGTCGATTTCATACTAATATATTCCTCTCCTTATTTTGGGATGATGGCATTTCAAAGAGATTTCACAGTAGGAAGATTCATCCTATATTCTGAGTAATAATGATAAACATTAATATCAAGGAACAATGGTGTTATCCATATTCCACTTTAAGCTCCACGAAGACAGTAATCCCACAATGACATGCAATGAGAATTTAAGATCCCAAGGCGAGTCTTATGTGTATCACCTGGGAATCTTGTTAAAATGTAGCTTCTGATTCAGTATACCTGGGGAGGAAATGATATTGAGGAGAGGGTCAAACTGCTTAAGACTGGGCAGTGTTCGTTCTGTTGTGCATAGGGTCGCTATGAGTTGGTATGGACTCGATGACACCTAACAACAACAATGCATAATTAGGTTTTCAATTTTTAAGTCCACAAATAATACAAACTTTTTCAGATTGAGGAGAATAATGGGATATGCCTATTGGTGAACCAGCAAAAACTCATTAAAAATAAATTCAACAACCACACTTGAATTAATATGAATTTTTATTAACACATATTTATTTGTTAAAGTCTGTACAAACCAAAACATTCCTGTGTTTTAAAATATTCATTATTACAAACATACAAAGAAACAAAAGGTTGTTACCAAAAGTTACCTACCCAGTTCCATGGTAAAACAGTGTCATGATTTTTAGAAACCTAAGTTTTCTAGACTGAGGTCTCCTCCTTCCCTTTTTGGAACTTATGGAAAGTTAGAAAATGTGTGGATTTGCTTTAATATATTAAATGCCAATACATTAAAAAAGATTTAGTATAAAACTAAGTGTTTATATTGTCATACTTCATGTAACAGAACTTCTCAGTCTTCAAAATTAAAAAAAAAAAAAAGGAAACCAAAAACACATGACTGTTGCTTTTTAAATCTTTGCCCCATACTCAATGCATCTGAGAAATATTATCTGACAGCTGATCATTACCTAAAACTTCCTCATTCAAAAAGCTACAAAACTAGTTAACATAGCTGTTTCCCTTGCTTAGAAGGGAAAATCACATTCCCTACTAGGGTGAAGTATGTGCAACATGGTCCATTGTTCCTCTTATCAAAAGGAAGCCATCCACTTCCACATCTCTGTCCAATTATGTGCATGGTTCCACTTGTGAGAATGCTATCACAAATGATAGAGCAATTTGCTTTTCGGAAATGCTGAGCAAATTCAACTCACTGCTATAATCTTGGTAGGCTGAGGTACATATGTCATCTGCCCTCATGACAGCCTCTAACTCTAGTATCCCCCATGGGATAATGATTCCAAGGGTGCTGGTCTTGCTACGTTTCATGGCACACCACACATCCCTAGCCTGGACTAGTCTTTCACAAACATGACATAGAGGACCTGAGAATATGGCTAGTAATACAAATCTATTCCCTCTTCTGGAAAAAGTAAATCCATGTGCTTACTGACAGGGGTTAAGAAGGGAAGCACAGGGCACACACAATTCTGGTTGAGACCAAGCTGTTCCTGAGAAGTGCCTGTCTTCAATGCCTTCCCATCAAAAGCAGAGTGTAAAGGCCGGGGTGGGTGAGGCCTGGGGAGAAGATGAATCCTTTCTCTCAAATGAACTCATAGGCCATACTGAGCAGTTCATTCGGACCCCAGAATGCTCTGTAGTTCAAATATTGTCCTATTTTTAATCTTCTCATATAAAAAAATGCTGACAGTAGTCCAGTAACATAAGTTATATGAGCAAGTAAAGGGTATATATATATATATAAGAAAGTGGCAGTGTGAGAATTTAAATCAAGCACGTAAAACAATTAGGAAAAGGGTGGGGGAGTGTCCAGTACAACCTGGACAACCTTTCTTTCTGCCTTTACTTAAAAAGACAGACTGTTCATCAAATCGTTGCTATCTCCCTTAAGTATTTCCTTAAATGCTCTTCCAAGAAATCTTCCAAAGGCACTTAACTCCATACTTACTATGCATTCAATTGTTCCACCTTAGCAATCAGTTTTTAAGACTCCAAGGTAACAAGAAAGATCTGGTTCTGAATAAAAGCTGGAAAGTAGGACTGTTTTTTCAAGAGAAATCACTTTTACAAGAAGAACTAGCTAGACTACCATTATTCCTTTATCAAGAAAAAGTTTCTTTTTTAAAAAATAAATAAAACTCTGGCTATGCACAGTACAAAGTTCATACATAATATACTTGGAAAAAAAACCCAAGAGTGTACCCTGAAGCAAAAGGTTTACTGGAGAGAGAAAGCCTCTTCCATTTTATCATGTCTTAAAGTGGCAGCTTTAGAAATTCAGAGGGTGGCAGTGATATGTAATTAATGCCAAAATATTTGCTCATGGGTATGGCAGGATATGATAGGGGAAAAAGTTATTCTGCACATAACTATGAGCAGCAAACACCACAAATAAAACACCACAAAAAAATAAAAAATAAAAAAAAACCACACACACACACAAAACACACCCAACAAACCTAACGAGTCGTACCGAGAATGAAAGACAAAGAAAGAACAAGAGATTAAGCCTCCACACACATTCAAACATGCGGTCCTAGCGCAGCACAAACCAGTTGTTCCCATTCAGTCAGCCCACTGCAATCGCACGAGGAAGATGACTGTAATAAAATAGAGATTTCTTAAGAAAGCTTGCAACTCCCAGAGAACAGTTAGCTCTCCAATCCAAACCAGCACTCCATCAGCTGTTGCTGGGTAGTCTCCTGGTGATTTCTCATGGAGAAGTTATAGTTCCTGACTTCTCGGACTTCTTACTCTTGGACAAGGCAGCTGCTTGCTTCAGAAGTTCTCGGTTTTTGGCCTAAAATATCAGAGCAAGAAGGAAGTTTTTAACAGCATAGGACATATTTTTCATGCAGAACAAGTGCAGACGATATAGAGGATCAGGGAGAGATGACCAGAATTCTAGAGGTTAAGAAACACTTGTCACTTGATTCAGGAAAAGAAAATAAAAGCCGGTCTGTACTGGAGGTTCATCAGTGTACTCTTGGGACCCACTATTACAAAAGGATGCTTTATGCAACACCAACAAACAAATGGAGTGACTTAGTGTGTTGGATAAACAAAATGTATAACTCAGACATCTGGAATCACATCTGGGTTACACAAAAATCGAAACACACATTTTAAAATTCCAGCTTTTGAAGAAGAAGAAGAAGAAAACAGAGACCATTCAAAAGTGAAACAATGAAAGTTATCAATAAAGTAGATTCGTACAATATGTCAACTACTTTGAGAAAAAAAAATCTAAGGGATAATCATTTAAAATGCAATCAGCTAAATACACAAGAATTACCATATAAAAATCAACAATTACCTGTAACTGTTCTGTAACTTCTTTGTGGGTTTTCTCCATCTGGTTCATTTTGGCTCTCATCTGAGACTCCTGGTACTGAAAATCAGCCTTCAACTCTGTAATCTGAGGGGACAAAAGCAGTCACCAGAAGAAATTCCTGTTCGATGAAATGTTTTGGTATTTAAGAGCTAAATGCCCCCTGGCCAAATTAATGAAAAGGAGAGGTCTCCTACAGAGCCACAACTAGATCAAGGCCAGGGAGTTCTGTATCCTATTTTTTTCTAAAGATTTCCTGAAGATTCACACAATACTGAATTAGCAGTTCTAACATTTAACTATCATTAGCAAGCTTTTTAAGATTTTATATATTTAATGTGTGAGTACAGTGGCTCTATGCAATAAGCCGTGGTCTGAGAACCACAAAGTCCATGGTTTGAGCCCACCAGTTGCTCTGCAGGAGAAAGATGAGGCTTTCTGCTCCTATGAAGATGTATAGTCTCAGAAACCCTATACAGCGTTGCTATGAGTTGGAACTGACTCTATGACATTTAACAACATATTTAATATATGCCAAACGTCCTCTACATGCTCACCTCCACATAAGTCAATGATTATATGATGTTTTGAGAGAAGCCACAGAATAATAGCTGCTACAACGTCATGAAATTCTTACTCTTATCATATTCCAGGCAAATGGCTTTGATTATATTACTTCATTTAATCCTACGATAACTCTGTTGGGTAATATTATTCTTCTCATTTTCTAGATGGGGAAACCGAAGCTCAGATGACACTAAGTAATGTGGCCAAAACTAGACACCACATTAGCAAGAGGCAGAGCTAGAATTCAGATCCTAGGTCTCCTCCTGCTGACTATGCTATTCAAGGAGTACAGACAGACATCCAAATCAAAGGGGACATGTGAGCTGAGTTTTGAGGTTCAAGGAGCAACAGGCCACAGGAGGTAAGACAAGCATCCAAGCAAAGAGAACATCATGGGCACAGGCAGAGATAATTAAGAGATTGTTCAGATGAGTGTGGAGAGTGGTAGATGAGGCTAGAGACAGGCAGGTGGGATGCAGAAAAGCCTGGGTTCTAAGCAGAGGTTCGAAGACCTTGACCCTGGAAGCTGTGGGAAACAATCCACTGTTTGGTTTTGCTCCTTTTGAAACTGTCATTTTTCAAAACAGTAGAAGCATGAGTGTTCATTGATCTCTTATTTTTAAAATTTCTTTTAAGTGCCAATCTAATCCATGAAGAGAATATACTAGGGGGTCCACTTTCATTTGCCAGTCATGTAGTAAGGTGGGAAGAACATGGGTCTCTTAGCATGACTCTCCACCTTATTGGGAGGAGGAAGCGTACTACAGTGGAGAAAAGTGGAGTCAGAAAGGTGGGTTCCTTCCCTTGTTCTGATATTTACCAACTATGTGAACTGGCCACGTTATTTAACCTCTTTGAATCTGTTTCCTTACCTCTAAAATGAGGTAGAAAGTAGATGGGGAGAGCATGTTAAGATTTTAGCATGTTTTCTTAGCCATTCAAAATGAATCTTAGAGTTCTGAACTTGGTACAAGATAATATACAGCCTCAGGGGGGAAAAAAAAATAGAACCAGGAGGTGGTTGGAACCCTAATAGAAAAAATATTAGGGGAATTCTTTATCAGTAATAATTCAGTTTTTATGAGGATAAATGCCTTAATAGAGATACAGCACTTAGACTAGAGCCAGGCACATAGTAAATACTCAATAAGCAAACTGAACGTTATCAAATACATTAAGGTAAAAATGAGAAACTTTCCTAGAAACTGAAAATAAGATAAATAATAGACATGGATAAGAAAAAAAGATGTAAACAGTTCCTTGATGAATAAAGATATCTCTCAGACCAAAGTAAGGTGCCACTGAAGATATTTACATGTTTAATAAGTGGGTCCCTCAGGAAGCGAGTGGTCAGCAATGGAAGTGTAGTGACAGAAGAATCCTGGAGGATGGCTCACCTGGTCTACATACTTTGAGTATTACTGTCCCATGACACATCCATCTCAGTAACAGATGGAGACATCAAGTTCTCTTAGCAGGAGAGCACTGAACATTTCAATTACATAACTACTTCATGAACTGTATGTTCACTGGTAATAACCTGGTTTCCAAGGCAGCCAATGTTGAAATTGTAGTATTTTGTTGTTCCCAACTCTGAATTAGAGCTCTGGTAGTGTAGTGGTTACGAATTGGGCTGTGAACCGCAAGGTCAGCAGTTGGAAACTACCAGCGATTCCGCGGGAGAAAGATGAGGCGTTCTGCTCCCGTAAAGATTTATAGCCTCGGAAACCCTGTGCAGGGTCGCTATGAGTCGGAACCGACTCCACGGCACTTAACAACAACAAACTCTGAATTAAGAGGTGAATGTTGTGGTTTTAGACCGTATCTCTGTAAGCTTGGTTACATGAATCATTTTTGAGACACAAAGGTTACCCGCAAAATGAGAAAAATCCACTTTCTGAACCCACTTGACTGGATTCCCCAAGGTAATGTAAGTCCATGAGTCATCTTGGCAGACAGCTAGCCTCTCCCTAAGATGTAGACAGCTAATATCTTTCTAGGATATCCCAACATTGCCACAGAACCTTTCTCCCATGGTAATAATGGAAATATTAAGTGTTCTCATCATGCTCCACACCACATGCTTCAGCCTTGCATCATTCTGGTCTGACAAGCTTTAACGAAAGCATACCTTCTTCTCTTTCTCTAAAATCATTTGATCCTTTTGATGCAGCATCTTCTTCAGAGTGGCCACTTCTTCCTTTAGTTGGGCAATGATGACAAAGTGGTCAGTGCCCGGGGAGTCCAGAGCCAGGTCTGGGGAAAAGCTGATAGGAAAATGAAGGGGAAAAATCATAACGTGGATGGATACACTTTTACCCAAAGATACATCTTGGCCACTTGACTGCAAGCTCCTCAAGAGCAGGAATGACCTGAATTCCCAGCATCGAGCACAATGTCTCACACAAGCCAGACTCAATAGCATTTGTTAACTGTACTTGTAAGCTAGTTATCCGGTAACTAGACCCAAAACGACAACACTCTAACAGCCACAAAGCATCTTTTCTTACATTTAGGACTAACATATATGCCACATCACAGCATACAAAGAGTCCAGAATATTCTGTTTTAGGTTGATTGAAGATTCTGAATGATTTATAGATCAAACAATCATAAATTGTGATTAGATCACTTCCCTTGACTTCTGGACAGATTATAAATTGTAAGTCTTTGCCATACAGTTTCCCCAGCAAGCTCATCTTTCAGCTCCGTCTTCTCCATGCTCAAAGCATTGTGATCTGGTGCAGATGCTAAGAAGGTGCTATGATGAAAGTTAAATGAATAGGAAGGAAGCCAATTTGCCCTATACTACATTTTGCCTGCTGTCATTTTCAATATGAAGAACCCTCTGACACTTTGGAAAGGGACAAGGAGGTGGCCAACTTCAGAGTCACATCACTACCTGGGGATTCCACAGATTCCTCCCAGGAGTGTGAGCACCATTTGGCGAAGTGCCAAGTGAACTCTTCATATGTCCTTTCCGCAGAGACTCTTAAATGGTGCCAGTTTCAGGTAATCTGTGAACCTCTAAAATGTTATGTACAGTGAGTGTTTTCTGGGGTAAGGATGCACAGGTTTCATTGGCTGCTCAGAGGTCTCTTAGACTCAAAACAAGATGCCTAGAAAGTCAAACCCTGCCCTTCTCTTGAAACTTCCCAAAGGAAGTGCTTTACTTTTCTCAGGGCAACTTTATCATTAAAACACAAACCTAATGGTCTTCCTAGACAGGGAAATACCAATTCCCAGCTCCTGTATCAACAAACCAATGGCTCAGAGTTTCCCCGTGCTGTTGGTTCTTTCCTACATCTTATTCCATCCCTAGAAACCTGCATTTTTCTATACAGGTAGAAACTTCAAACAGCAAATCTAACCACTGTACCATACGTCTTCAGTTACTAAGTCAAACATTTCTATGGCTAGAAGTAAAAGCAGCAGTCCATTGATTACAATATTCTCCCTCCCTCAGTCTACATGATTCATCTGAGAAGCATGTCAGCTGGAGATAATGTCAATGGTTTCATAATTGATAAACATGTAGAATTACTGGAAAACACAAAAGAAAACGCAAAATAATTCCAACTAAACATGTAGGAGAAAGAAAACGATTGAAAGGACCCATCATAGTCTTCACTCGTTTTAGATCCCGAGGTAGCCTAACATCCAATACTCCCCAAGGAACTATGTCCTAAACTCAAAAGAGTTTATTTAAACCTAAACTACTGTGATGAATGGAGTAATGGGGCTAGCCTAAGTAACTTCTTGTTGTCCCTAAAGCCCCAAATATTGTTTTCCCTGCTTCTTGAGAGAGGGCTTTGCTACCTCTTAACTCTAACTTCTGGTTCAGTCAGAACTACTGGGAATGAAAATGAAAAAAGATGTGTTAGCAAGGCAGAAAATAAAATCCTGCTTCTTTCCAACCACCTTCAACAACAGGGAACTATTTCTCCAGAAAACCTGTCCATCCCAAAAGTGTTTATTATAGAACAATTTTCTTCCGGTTGAATCAAAACGTGCACCCCTGTCATTCCTACCCAATGGTCCTAGTATTGTCCTCAAAGACCTTACAGAACAAGTCTAATCTCTCAGGCATAAATGTGGAATAATGCACTGGACCGTAAGGTTGGTTTGAACAATGAAGTCAGTGGTTCAAACTCACCAATCACTCCTTGGAAACCCTATAGAGGGTCGCTATGAGTCGGCACCAACTCAATAGCACTTAACAACAACAACCACATCATGGAGAAAAGAAATGTCCTTTAAAGTCAATGAACCTCAAGGTGTTCCTGGGTACCACCCACTGTTGAGGCTGTACTTTTATTGCCTTGTGAAGCAACAGACAAATATGATTAAAAAGTGGACTTTATGTATGCTCAGGGAAAGCTAGAGATGAACCCAGATTTCCTTCAAGTAGAAAAAAATTTTTTTTTTATAATTTAGAATTATTTATTGTAATTATTACAATTTAGAAAAAATTAAGAAATATTGAGAGGAAGGCCATGGGTTTGAGAGAATATTGAAAAAAAAAAAATGCAACTAGAAGAGACGCCATTAGAGAAAGTTAAGATGGTGTATTCTATCTATGACAGGAAGGCTAGTGGCTAAAGAAGAGGAGGAAGAAAACTAATCAGATATGCCTCAATATTAAGAAATAAGCATGAGAAGAAAATGTGATAGTATAGGAAGGTCAGTGGAAAAACATTAGGAAGCAAATTATAGAATATATGAAGGAAGAAAAATTAAAGAATAAGCATAAACTAAAAAGCCTATCAATATTTTCAAAGTGAGGCCTGAAAAGCAAATTATTTAACTAATTAAAAACAGATAACAACAACAAAAGATATTTTAGAAATAAGACTGATAGCAGTTGGTATAGAAGTCAAAGAAAAAAGGGATAGAAAAAACTGAATTTACTTTATGCTATGTACATACAAAAGAGAAATGCAAATAAGCATATCATACTGATTAAATTGCTAATGCAGGAACATTCATATGGAACTTGTCTATGTCTGAAAACAATTTTTGTGGCAATACATAACTTTTCCAAATCTCCACACTGAAAGAGTAAACTACTTTTAAAAATTAGTGTATACATTTCAAGGAAATTATATTTTTGCATCTTTTTCAGAGGACATCATGAAAGACCACATATCTAAGTCACCAAGAATCAGCATCTTACTTGAGGAGAATAGTCACTGCTGGTGACCAGATGCAATCAAACAGTCTGAACAGAAAGTGTGAGCTTTTAGCCTGGTGTATCTGTAGCAATGGACAGCAAGAATAGCAGCAATATCTCAAGAGTAAAACAAGCTAATAGACGGTAACCTTTAAAAATTGGCTGGTTAAACTAAATGTTATGAATGAGCCTTTTACTAGGTGGTTCAAATATAAAGTCTGGGTAATAAATAACCACAAAATATAAATGATGAGTCTTTAAGGCCCCAGATCTTGGCTGAAGCCTTTGTAAAGGCAGGGCAGGGCATCAGAAAGATTTACTTGTTGAAGTGGTTTTTGCAGGACCACACACCCTGGAGGCGGTGATAGGACAACCTGTTCTCCACCTACTTCCTTCAGAATAGCCAGACGAGCTGCCCAGACAAACATTAAAACTGACCATGAAGATGGTTCCTTTCTCCATGTAATCTGAATATCGAAGTTACACATTTTCAGAAGATTTAATTCAAGAAGTTCAAAATCAATAAACTAGTTGTCAAGAAGATACCTGGTGGGATCTGAAATCAATCTAATGAAGAAGGCATGGAAAAGAGGTACCCTTCACAATGCTTCTCTAAATGAACAAAATTCAGCCCTTTAACTCTATATGGAGGTCTGCCCCCACAGCCACCATGGCGGGGAGGGAGAACCGTGAAGGAGGAGCTTCCAGAATGGAGATGATTCCAAGGACTTTAGGGAAGAGTATGTCAGGTGGTCTCACTTCAGGATGCCCAGGCCTGGAGGAACACGAAAGTGGTTGGCCCCAAGACTCTGTTGGGAAGCAGCCCACTGCACCAACCCGGATGGGGCACTCTGGATATTGGGACAAAGCAGCTCGTAAGAGGAAGCATCGCTGAGAAGGAGAGAGGAAAGCGAGGAATAAACGTATGCATTTAGACAGGTTTAAAATGAAATAAAAATATCTGAACACATCTCACTGTCTTCTGATTGGAAATCTGCCCTGCTATGTGTTACTGAACACATGGATTAACCCTCACAGACTGAACAACACTGCCCTCACTCAAACTTGTCACTGCTCTGCCTCCCGAGACTGACTGCTGTTCTGCCTGGCACAGGCTTCCGACACAGATCACAATGGAACGTGTCCAGCTGTTGACACCTTAGAACTAGCGTACGGCAGTTAGTTATCTTGTGAACTGCAGAATTCAACTGCCATTAAATCCATTTAAAAACGATTGTGATGAAATTAGATGCGTAAACAAAATTAGTAATACTTGATTATAAGATATCAAGTTGCTGTTGTAGCACCCCCAAGAGGTTTGCTGACAGCCACAGACTAGTTCCAAGGCATACCCTAAAATGCACTGCACTCCTATCTTAGGAACTGTGCATGTATTTCAGGCAGAAGCCTGAACATATACACACACTCCAACTTAGCTTACCTGTCTCCATTGATTGTGACTGACTCAAACTTGGACTTTTTCTTTGGGATTTCATTTTGGATTGAAGATGTAGAAAGTGTTTTCTGGCTTTGAAAGGCAATCAATAGAAAGGCACAAATTAGAAATCAAAGAAAAATAAAACATCACAATGCAAGTCTATCAAACAGAACCAATGTAAGACCGTAGTTCTATGTAAGAGCTAACTATTCTTGATTTTCCAAATCCACCAATGTGTTACTTTATAAGTCCTGGATGTGTAAGTTGCTAGTTTCCATAGCACAAAAAAAGATTATTGGTCTTAATTAAATATTACTTGGCTTTATTAATAACTATGAGAATAGAATCATTCAAAATTCTGTAAGAAATGTGTCTTATAGTTTTAAAAACTTTTAGTCATTGTCTCATGCATCTTGTAAGTTTGTGAGGAATAGACAAAGTTTTATATTATTTTTCAAAAACTGAGACTCATCAAGGTTAACTGATACAAACCTCATTAATTGTGGAGCTAGGACTAGAAATCAGGCTGACGTATTTATTATGAGCCTCTAATCCATTTCTTCACTATTTTGTGAGCCTACTGATATCCCACAATAAGACTAAAGATCTATTTTATTTCCAGTAAGTTCACCCTGTAAATCTGATTCTGAAACAAAAGCTAAAAGTCTATCTTTGGGCTTCAACCCTTCCAACTTTAATTAATGTCCAATTGCCAAACTCAAACGGAGCTTTCAACGTTTTCTTACTTGACTGCTCTTCAGTATTGACACCGCTGACCACACCATCTGTATGGAAACCTTCTCCTCACTTGATCATCCTCTTACTTTTGCTTAGTCTCTGTCCATCCCATGACACTGAGTGCTCCTAGAGTGTGGTCTCAGCCTCCTGTCTAAGTTATACCATCCAAGAGCTTTAAGGACTAGCTATCACAGCACACAAGTGTTCTTTTCTAAAATCAAGGTTAGAATGTAATTTTGGACAGATACTGGCCACTTGGAGGAGCTCTGGTAGTGTAGTGGTTACGAATTGGGCTGTGAACTTTAAGGTCAGCGGTTCGAAATTACCAGCTGCTCCGCGGGAGAAAGATGAGACTTTCTACTCCCGCAAAGATTTACACCCTCGGAAACCCTGTACAGGGTCGCTATGGGTCGGACCCGACTCGATGGCACTTAACAACAACAACAACTGGCCACTTGGAATCCTGTTGTGGCACTATAGGATAAGTACTTGACCATAAGGTTGGTTTGAACCGCAAGGCTGTTGGCTTAAACTCACCAGTTGCTCCTCAGAAACCCTATACAGGATCACTAAGATTTACAACTGACTTTACTTTTGACACTTAATGACAACAATCATAGTGGTTGGAAATGTTGTTCCCCAGATCACTGCACCTGAATCATCTGGGATGATTATGTCACAGTACAGAGTCCTCTATGCCATCCTTATTGCTATTGTTGTCAAGGGCCATCTAATTGGTGTCGACTTATAGCAAGCCTGTAAAGGGTTCCAAAACTGCAAATCCTTGTGGGAGCATCTTTCTCCTACAGAGCAGCTGGCGGGCTCAAATCGTTGACCATGTAGTTCACAGTCCAGTGCTTATCCACTCTACCCTGTTGTTGTTGATAAGCGCTGTCAAGTCTGTTTTGACTCAAAACAACCCTGCATAGGGTTTCCTAGGAGAGGCTGGTGGGTTTGAACCGCTGACACTGCAGTTCAGTCCACTATCCTGTAGTGCCACACCAGGACTCTAGATTGTACTAAGTTAAACATTGGGGTTGTTGTAGAAATCCCTATTTTTAAATACTCCAATGATTCTTATATGCTATCAGCGGCCCATATTCTAGTGACTCTGCCTATTTTCTTGCTCCAGCCCAAGCCTCTTTAAGTTTCAAGATAAATCCTTACTAAATAATTCTTCCTGGTGCTGCAAACTCAGATTTTCAAAACTGAACTTTCTCACTTCCCCTTCTTGTATGCTCTCTCTGTTAAGGACCTACCCAAGTACAAACCTGGAATTATCCTCGACTTACCCAACTCTAGACCATCTACTTGCTCACCAAATTATATATTTCTCATAATTCGTCCCTCCAAAGTTCTTCTTGAATCTGCCACTCCCCATTTCCTGCCATTCCCCAGCTCCTAACCATCAACTCTAAGTTGCAGCTCTCCAGGGTTCCATGTGGGCTCAGACCTCCAGACTTTTGCTATTCCCTCAGCCTAGAATATTTCTGCTCATTCCTTATCTGATGATTCTGATTTATCCTAAGATTCAGTTCCAGTCTAAGTCCTTCTCCAAGCCTTCTTTGCCTAATTTCCCAAGGCAGTTATAGCTCATGCTTCTATCTTACATAGTTCCACTGTGGTGCCCACTGCATTATCCTGGGATGACTAGCTTGTAGGTCTGTTTTCCCCTCTAGACTGCATGCTCTTGGAAAACAGCATGCCTGTTTTATTCACCTATGCTTTCCCAGCAGGGTCCCTCAACAGGGTATTTAATATTTCTGGACTGTACAAATAAAATCATAATGGTAATAGAAAAATATCTTTTAAACATATTAAATGCTTCCTATATGGCATTAAAAAAAAAAAAGGACTATGTATGTATGTACTGTCATGCATCACTTAATATCTATGTTATGTGAAACAGGACGTTATAGGACTTAGACAATGTGTGAACAACATATTGACTGGGTCCTACTTTTTCTGTAAGCACCTTGAACAAGTTTCATGCCTTAGCAGTGGCAGTCAGTGTGCTGAGAAGGACTTGGTTTAGTGTTTGTTCTTTAATCCACACCGTTAGCAATTTCCCTATAGTTGATACAGGTTCCTTTGGCATTTTTATTAGCCTCATAGCTTTCAGTGAAGCTGATCCTTTAACAGGTTTGAAGAATTTCTTCTTTGGTTTTGAGGATCATCAGGACTGTCGACTCTACCATGCCTAAATGATAAATAACAGCATTCACTGATTTTCCACCTTCCTGCTATTTAATAACCTTCGGCTTCACTTCCAAATCGATACTTCTCCTTTGTTTCTCGCTGCTGCCCTCACTGGCACTGGTTTTGCTGGGTTTGGGAGCCATGATGCACCTCGGGTAATGTTTTTGAAAGAAAATGAAACAGAGAAGTAATGCTACAACACTTGAGAGGTGTGGTCCATGAGACTGGATGCTGCTGCCTACGAGTTGAAGCCTACAGTTTATACAGTACCTTTTTCAGATAGAAAGTACAGTGCATAACAAAGCCAGTCACAAAGGCATTTATTATGACTATCAAGACATACGTCTTAGGTTATATGGGTACTATACCATTATAGTACATATTGTACTATAGTACGTAGCAGCTTGTTCAAGCTCCCCAGCTGTTCCTCAGAAACCCTATGCAGGGTCACTATGAGTCGGAAATGACTGGACGGCACTTAACAACAACAACATTATGACCTTATGGGACTACAGATATTTAAGCAGTCTGATGTTGCCTGAACAGATGTTATACCATGCATGACTCCGCTGTGTAATTTATCTTCAGAGCAACGCTCATTTTACAGATAAGAAAACACATCCAAGAAGCCACACAGAGAATTTGGCAAAGCTAAAATACAATCCAGAGCTAGAACTCTTAACCGCACTGCAGATACTCTGTAAGGAAGCTGAAGACAACAGTGAAAGGATTTTTTTTTTAACTGCATTCCACAAGGACTAACTTGGTACACCTATCAACCTTCCTGGCCAATTATATATAAAAGCAGGTCTCATCTCTCAGAAAATGAACTGTCCAATCTTCTACAGAAATGATCCACTCTGAAGGTGAGGAAAACACTACATGTAACAGTGAAGTAGGTTCCGTAAACCTTTCAGGCACAATAAATTCAGGAGTCTCTCTGGCCCGGCAAAGATATAGATTGTAAAATCTGACAAATTTTCCCTATAGGCTAGTAACTAAAGAGAAAAGGACAGTAAAGTATATACAAAATGGTATTTTCCATGACTGTCAGGGCAGTGTGTGTTTCTGACCTGTAAACATCTCTAGTCCTTGTGGGCATTTTAGGCTTACCTGTTGTAATGACCACTGCCACTCAGTCGACTGTACTGCTCCTTCTCCTGGTGGCCAGCCCGGGAAGAACTGCTCAAGTGCTTCCTCTGCTCTTTGGTCTTCTGAAGGACCCGTTTGTAAGAGAGTGTGCACAGCCAACACAACAATTTTCCATCTACCTGAAAGACCAGGAGAGAAAGGTAAAGAGGAAGGAATAGACTAATGAATGCAGACAGTAAGAACCAGAGCGCTGGGAGCTAGAGCACCTGGATTGAGTACCAGTGCTGCCACTTATGAGCTAGGTCACCTTAGGCCCCTGAGTCACTTGAGCTCTCTCAGGCTCCAAGTTCCCTCATCTGTAAAATGACGAATAATAGTACTACCTCCAAGGGCTGTTGCAAGGATTTTGTGACATAACATCTGTAAGGCCCTCAGCCAGATACCAGGCATGTAAAAGTTGCTTCATTGAAAGATATCCGCTGCAATCTCATGTATAGTTTTCTTTTGTTTTACTCTGACTTAGCAAATTTAGCTCAGAGCAAAGTTCCCAAAAGAATTTCAAAGACACAAACATCCTCATGGTGCTCATTAAGGAAAACTCAACAGGAACAAGAAAAGATTGAAGATGAAATGTAAAATCTACACTTCAGTTATAATACTTTGTAAAACTAAATGAATACTTTTTCTCAGCTAGCAAGAATACCCCCAGAGAAAGACAAATGGGTGAGGAACTTCCAAGGACCCAGATCTGGTAGTGGCCTACACCACAGCACTTTGTTGAACCACAAAGAGTCAACTTCTTTGGGTAGAAGGAGTTCTACACCAGAGACACGGGTGCAAGGCTAGGAAAGCAGAGTGCAGCTTCTACAATCCTATGAAGTTTGTGGCAAAACCATTACTAGGGAAATGAGTTGGAAATGTGGTAGCAGGGCTGACTAGAATTACCCACGTTTGGGGAGGGAATATGCTGATGTTTTATGGAATTTTATAGTTTCATTTATTCCTGTAATTAGATCTTAGGCCCCATTTTGAATGTGGGTAGGCAACATCATCATATACCTAAGTGGTTTTATATTGTTAGCTGTGGTGTAGTAAATTATTTAATGTCTGTTTTGGCCTCAGTTTATAACCACCACCAAACAACATTATGTCCTGTTGAGTCTGGGTAAGACAAGGTGGGAGAAGATGCTGATAGGCTGTAAGATTCAGTTGTGAGTGGTTAGCAGAGTTAACTGTGATTGTAAAAACATGGAACTCTTTAATGTGTATAAAATGAGCCATTTCAGAAGCAGGAGGATGGGGATCTCACTCCCTTCAAAGAAGAGCAGGTGTGGACTATGTCATTTGGACCCAGAGATCCCTGTGTACGGAACCTGCTTTACCTAGGGACAGAAAGCTGTGATACCATAAGAGTGACAGGGGAGAGCAGAACCAAGAATGAGCACACTAGCAGAGCAGTGGGCTTCCCAGCCCAAGGAGCAAGTAAACCTCAGTGACTTTGGGCAGGAGGCTTGCTTGCAGAGTGGGGTGCCTCCAGACAGTTAAATGGGGGCTAGGTTTGCTGTCCCACAAAGCTAGAGCTGAGTGCCTTCAGGTTGAGGCTTCTGGTAGAGTGGTGTGTCCTATGGGCATTTATCAGCAGCTCTAAAAGAGCTTTGTAACACTGGCTGGGCAGAGAGAGGCCTGCCTGCGGGCACAGCTGAAGAGAAGCTGTCCTGACTGGAATAACTAACTGTGCCTCGAGCATTTTCGATCCTGAATTATAAACCGCAAAGCTGAGTATGGTGTCTGAGTTCCGTGTGGCCATTGCAATAAATTTACAAATCCAATTAAGAAGGCTGTGGGAGGGATGGTTTGGTGCTCATTCTCACATCAACATCAGCCAAAGTCTCTCTGCCTCGCATCCTTCAACACAGCAGCAGGTCCACCAGTCTGAGCCTATTCACTTCTTTCCAGTCCTACTGCTTCCATCCCAGTGAAGCCATTCTTATCTTTCATTACTGTAAGAGACTTCCAAATGTGCTCTCAGGACCACTGCCACACAACCACCACAGGGGGCTTCTTACAAGTACATCTCATGTCCCTCCTCCCCCTGAGACCCAGTGGTTTCTCACAGTTATCTACTATAAAAGCCATTTTTTACCATGGTTTACACAGATGTAAATCTTGCCCCTACCTGCCTCTATAACCTCATTTCCTTTCTCAGCCCCTTGTTTACTCTGCCTTCCTTCTGTTTTTCTCATGTGTCACCTCATTCTAGTTTCAGCTCAAATGTTATTGCTTCAGAGATCCTTCAGATTGCCCAATCTAAATTGGTCTCCCCAGTTACTCTTAAAAGATCTAAAGTGTATTCATGCTGTTGTAGTTAGCTACTGTCAAGCCGTCTCTCAATTCATGGCAGTCCCATGTGCTACAGAGTAGAATTATTCCATAGGGGCCACCTAGGCTTCTCTCCCCAGTCACTATTATAAACTCTTTTCTCTCGAGCACTTAGATAAAAAAAATCTATGCTAATTTATTTCTTTGTTTATTTTTATCCATCTCTCTCTCACATGCACCAATGTAATCTCTAGCAGAGGAAGGTCTTGTCTGTCTAATTCACTAGTGTATTTATAACACCTAGAACGGTGTCTGGTTCAGTTAATAAACATATAAGCATACTTTGAGATCAAACTTCAATCTGGTTCATTTCAGAGTTATGAAAAATAACCTGGAAGCCTGATTTTAAAACACTACAGAAGGCCTTACTGAGGAAAAGAGTTTGAAAACAAGAGAATGCCACTAAAAGAGAGCACATTATACATGAAATCCACACACAGGGCCATCGTACACTTTATTTTAGATCTCTGCCAAACCTTACCAATCAAGATATAAACTTGAAAAACACACAAAGAAACCCTCTTGAGAATAAAACTACTAAAAACAACTCATCACAGCAGGCACTGATTACTTATCACATCTCAGATTCTAGTCTAAGGGCTTTACACACAACTCAACTTTCATAACCTTCCATCCCCCTTTTACAGATGAGGAAAGGTACAGATTAACTTGCCCAAAGGCACACAGTTAAGTGACAGAACCAAGATTTGAAACCAGGCATTCTAAATCCGTATCACCCATTTTTCATCACTACTTTAGCCTGCCTGACCTAAAATTCATCAACATTTGGTTGAGGATGTGTGAAATGCAGCGGGGAGGGGGTGTGTTTCAAAAAACCGTGTGGAAACATTAGATTATCTTTCAAATTCTATTTTCCACAAATCTTTTGAAGTCCCTTTGTATATATCCAAACCCTTAAAATGGAATTGTAACCAAGGAAACAGAAAGTGAATTCTATTATAACAAGATCAATAAAAATTACCTGCTCCAATAAACAATAATACAGATAGACATTTGATTTGTGTATTGCTGTCCTTTATCTGTATATGTGCCAGGCTTAAAATTAAGTGTTCAATTATACTTATCTCAATTAAATCTCCCCATTTCCCTATTGGAAAGATAAGGAAATTGATACAAAACAAGAAAAAGTAACTTGCTCAGGATCACTCAGCTAGCCCTAGGAATTGGAAGGGACCCATGTCTGTGGAACTGTAAGGTTTGCACTCCAAATATTGTACACTATCTCCTGATTACTAAATTCAGCTTCTCCAGTATCTTGATTCAGGGAACACACAGGTACCGTGGTTAGTAGGCAGGAGTATTCTGGTCACTGAAAAGTTATATCCTCCCATCGTAAATTAATGAATTTGGTTAGTAAGAGACAGTTCTTAAGAGTTAAACACGTCTAGTCACAAATAAAAGAGATTGTAAATTGTGTCCTTTCATTCAATAAATATTGAGCACCTACCATGTGCCAGGCTACTGGAAGGATTGCAAAGACCAACATGGACAAAGAGATTACATCCTAGTGAGGTAGACAAACATGTAAACAAGATAATTTCTCATACTGTTCCATGTTATGAAAAAATAAAAGAAAGTGATGTGATAATATTGTCGAGGGAACTGCTTATAGGTCTCTATGAGCAGGTGACATCTGAGACCTGACACGAGGAACCAGTCATGAAACTCTAAGAAAAGGTTTATCAAGCAGGACAGTCAGTGCAAACGCAAGAATGAGACTGTTAAGTCTGAAAGACTGAAAGGCAGCCAGTGTGTCTGGAACATGTCAAAGATTGCACATATGATGGAACATGAGACTGAAAGGTGGGCATGGGTCTTACAGGCCATGGAAGAAGTTTCGATTTTATTCTATGGGCATCTGGAAGTCACTGGAGGACGTTAAACAGGAGAGTTACATATAATAAACTTCTGATTCTACCACACACAAGGTACTACCATACACAAAGCTTTTCTCTACGCCATTTTCTTGTGGTCTTTGTAACTTCAACAGACAGAAACATTTAAAGAGTCAACAGTAAAACTGATAATACTATTATATCTTACTGAAGTCACAATCTCTCCTTTATAGACTTCCAAAGAATTTTGCCAGCACTAACCCACTTACATATGGATATTGATCACTGTAATTCAGGTTCTCATGAAATGTGAAACAATGAAATGTTAGAACGCCTCACTCATTTGATAAAATGAAGATAACAAACCTTGAATATCTTCAAGGTCAATAATAGAAATTATAGCTCAACTGAGAAATTTCTCTTGATTATATACCTTTTAACACAATTGCTGTTGTTGTTAAGTACTGTCGAGTCATTTCCGACCCATAGAGACCCTATATAGGGTTTCTAAGGAGCAGCTGGTGAGCTTGAACCACCAACCTTGTTGATCAAATGACTTTGCAGTTGGCACATTAGCCCACAGCGCTACTACTTTAATTTCACAGAAAAGAAAAAAAAAATTTTTAAATCAAGACAAACACAGGAATTTACCTTCTTTCTATCGTCTTTCCTGTCGAATGCACATTGTTGCTTGCACTGTTCACAAGAATATGGTGGTCCATACTTTTTCTCTGAATTTGTACAGCGCTGGCACTTATTGCCAATAAATGCTGCAATTATGTTGCAATACTGACAAGGTTTAGGCTTAAGAGGAAAAAAACAAGTTCAAATAAGCATATTATAAAATACCAATGCATTTTTTAAAGCAATTAACTATTATTATATGAGGGTAAATAAAAAAGTATTGCTGTAAGATCATAGGAAACTTTATCAAACAAAAAAAATCAAAATAGGAAGTAATTATTTCTCAAAATATCTTCCATCTATACATTTCAGAAGACAGCATTTCCATCTCTAACCCTTTCCCAAGAATTCTGCACTCTTTGACTTATAACATGTCAAAACAGCAGTTTTGGTATCCTTCAGAGATTCAAATCATGTTTTGTTTAAATGTTTCTTGAATTTCGGAATAAAAAGGTTGAAAAGGGTTGTCGAGTGAATTTCCTAATGAAATTCTCATGGGAAGATCCCTGCTGCCCTTTAAGAACGAACAGGTGCCTTGTTGTGATGGATTAAAAATTCTTCAGTGCAACTTTCTGGGCCTTTTTATCAATGTACGTCCCAATTTTCTTAAAACTTTTATATAGTAAGTCCCTTTGATTATCCTGTGTCCTTCAAGAAACTCTATTAAGATTATGCTTCGGGATCCCTAAAAAGAGTTGCCATAACCTTCTATGTGTCTTGAATTAAAACTGGCCCAGCAAATCCCTTGGAAAGCCACAGTTTTGGTGGGCCTTTTTTTTTTTTTTTGAAGGCACCTTTATAAGATGAAAACAAGTGCATTCCTGAGAGAACTTGTCTGTAGCCTTCCAATGATCACAGAGACATGTTTAGACACGTTTTGTTTAGAATAAATCCATGCATGTATTAACTGAAACATGTGTAGCATTACTTTTTTACTTACTCTCATACAGTCTATTTGTTATTAAGTGCTATTGAATTGGTTCCAACTCATAGCAACCCTGTATAGAGTTTCCAAAAACAGCTGGTGGGTTTGGACCACAAACCCTGCAGTTAGCAGACCAGTGTTTATCCTATAGTACTATACCAGGATTCCATATAGTCCACTATTGTTGTTAATTTCCTTCACATTGGTTGCAACTCATAGTGACCCTGTATAGGGTTTCTAAGGAGTGGCTGGTGGGTTTAAACCACCAACCTTGCGATTAGCAATCCAGTGCTTATCCTACAGCACCACACCAGTAATGTAAAAATATACTCTGAACTTCATAAATTTGCTTTTACACTGGTCAAATGAACCTCAGTTCCAAATGCTATATAAAAATTGTTTTTCTGCACAAGACTATTGATTTTAAAATACATAAATGAATAAATAACAAAAATTCACTGGTGTATATGGTGTGATTTTTATGAGAAATTCAACAGACCCAGCTCTGGAGAAACCAGTAAGTGCTTCCAAATTTCTAAAAAGGCCTCTTTGCTGTTATCAACATATAAACATCTTAGGAGAATACTTATAACAACACAGTGTATATAGAACCCTAACATTAAGTGAACAAAATTATTCACCAAAATGAATATAGCCAAATGTTACAAACAAATAGGTTAAGTCAGAAGATTCAGTTTTTCCTTCTTTACATTCTGGTCACTAAAGCCTCTCAAGGACAATTAAAATCATAATCCTGGCAGAAAGAGTATAAACACACAACTCCTTAACATTAAATTTTAGCTCAGTTCAAAACCCAAAACTTGAGAAAGTACTTACACATAACTTATTCTTCCAAAAAATTATAATTACATTAATAAACTCCCCCCATACCCCAAACCCACTGTCAACTCCAACTCACATGACCCTACAGAACAGAGTGGAACTGTACATCTTTTTCAGAAGCAGAGTGCCACAGCTTTCTCCCATGGAGGGGTGGGTGGGTTCAAATTGCTAACCTTGTGGTTAGCACTTAACTATTCTACCACCAGGGCTCCTTCCAATGATAGTAACAGCCCACAGAAAAGTAAATTTCTAAGAGAGCCAAGTACTCACTGTTAGGTACAGAGAAACTCTACTTACCGTTCCATACAACTGCACATTCTGAGCACATTTCTTGCATATTGTGTTGGTTTTACTGTTAAGGAAGAAATAGATATAAGCTTTTTATAATAGAAAAGCTGTTTTATTTAGGACAGTTGAAAACCGATTCTTCTTTAAGCCAAAGGAATATGAGAAGTCTTCCAAAGTTTGTGGAAAAATAAAAGACAATGAAAACTTTCCATAAACTTTTTGAAGTATCTCCTATGTGCTAAGGTAAGATATGGTTGAAACAATTAAAGTATGACTATCTGGCCAATAACTCTTCATTATTTCAACAGAATTATGTGGATATTCATGAAAGATGAGGCTTTCTACTCCCATAAAGATTTACACCCTCAGAAACCCTGTACAGGGTCGCTATGGGTCAGAACCGACTTGACGGCACTTAACAACAACAACAATCTCAGATAAAATGGTGCTTTAAAAGAAGGCTTTGGTTAAAATTGAGAATGAGCTTTTTCTGATTACGGCATATCACTAAGTAAAATGATCAGGTAAGGAGAGAATGCGCAAAATATTAGATTGAAATGGACTAATAGGAAGAAAAAAAAAATCTCAATTCAGATAAACAGCTGAAAATTTTTGATATAAGAAAAAAAATGTACGTTGTCCGGAAAATAAATGCAGAGATTCTATTCATGTTGACAATACTCTGTCCAAGCTCTAGTCTTCAAGTTATCCAGCTGCTGGCGAGCCAATTCCAACTCCTGGCAACCCCATGTGTGTTACAGTCGGACTGAATTCCACAAACAGTGCCTGTTTTTTTCAAAAAGTTATCACACACACATAAAGAAGTCTATCACCAAGCCTTTCTTCTGGGTGGACTTGACCCTCTAACACTTTGGTTAGCATTGGGCATATTAACTATCTGTACCACCATCCCAGATGATGTCAATATTCCCAATTTCTAAAGATCTAATTGACAAAAGGAGTCCTAGTGTGGTGCTGTGGGTTAATGTGCTGGACTGCAAAGTTGGTTTGATTGGCAAGGTGAGCGGTTCAAGCTCCCCAGCGACTCCTCGGAAACCCTATACAGGGTCGTATGGCATTTAACAATAATTAACACAAATAAAAACATTCTTTATCTTGTGAAGATCTAGAATTAATAATATTAACTAAATAACTGAACTAATCTGTCTTAGGGAAGAAAACCTTTCCAAATAAAGTCTTACACATGCTTGATGTGCAAGAGTAGTTGAAATAACACTCTATGGCTAAAAATAAAAATACGTATTTTTAAATCCAGACTATTCTGTTTTGTAATTATATCCCCCACACAATCTCTATGAAAGTGACCACAAAATTTAAAAAGACAAAACAACAAAACAGCAAGAATAACAATAGCTCCAACATTTAAATTGAGATACTCAAGTAAAGTATTTTCCAGGGCAATTTTCTGCCATTTAAAAAAGATAGTACAAAAAGTAAAATACAATTAAAACAAACACAAAACCCCTGAACTTTAGAAACAATGATTCTGTAATGTTGAAATGACACTTTGGTTTACACACAGATTCATCACTGAAGAACAGGGGTGTATGTGTATACAAGGGGGCTTCAAAAAGTTCAAAGAAAAATGGAATTAAAAGATAATGGAATTTCCCCACAAACTTTTGGAAGTTCCCATATATACAAATGCTCCTGACATCTTAGAAAACATGCAAAGAAAAGGTATTTCTATGATCCGTCTTGAATGAATTTTTGTGTCTGGTGTAAGATTTGAAGTTCCTATTTCATTCCACACACAAAAACTAATTCAAGATGGAGTTTATACCTAAATGTAAAAAGTATGACAAAAAGCTCTTAGAGTATGATTTCATTAATATGTAGTTCTAGAACAGGCAAAACGAATCTATGGTTTCTTGGAGGGAATGAGGGTGCTGGAATTGACTGGGATAGGACAGGATATGACTTAACAGGGTGATGTTAATGTTTTGACTCTTCATAGGGGTTACAAAGGTATACACTGTTTATTAAAACTCACCAAATAATGTACTTAAGATTTGAAAACTTCTCACTGTATGCAAATTTCACCTCTAAAATAATGAAGTGTAAACAAATACTGAACTCTAGTTAATGATAGATATGCATGTTGAAGTGTTTGGGTGTAAAGTATGATAATGTCTACAAGTTTAAAATTGATAAAAAATAAGACAGACCAATGCAAGGATTGTTGTTGTTATTAAGTGCCGTCGAGTTGATTCTGACCCATAGTAACCCTGTATAGGGTTTCCAAGGAGCAGCTGGTGAGCTTGAACCACCGACCTTGAAGTTCAAATGGCTTTGCAGTCTGGCGCATTAACCCACAGCACCACACCAAAATGCTGTCAAATCTGCTGCAATTCATAGTGACCCTGCACAGGGTTTCCCAAGAGAGGCTGGTGGGTTTGAACTGCCAACCTTGTGGTAAGCAGGCCAGTGCTTATCCTATAGCACAACACCAGGACTAGTAAATTGTAGAATCTAAATAGTTAAGTGCCACTGAGTCAGTCCCAACTCATAACCACCTTGTATAGGGTTTCCGAGGCTTTATATCTTTGCCGGAGCAGAAAGCCTCATCTTCTACACAAAGAGCAGCTGGCAGGCTCAAACCACAGACCCTGTGATCCACAGTCCAATGCTTATCGTAGTGGATACAGGGATGTTTACTGTTGAATTCTTACAGTCTTTTTTACGCTTGAAATTATCCAAAGATAATGACAAAAATGAAAATGAAGTTGATTCAAATAAGGTATCTAAGTCTATGTGTAAGTTAGCAGAATCACCTATAATTGTAGTTCCACAAAAGTTGAATTTGCTATACCAATAAGCCACTTTGCTATCAAAAAGTTCCCCAAGAGGCTCACAACTAGGTTCTTTTCACATTTTGAAAGTGAGAGTGATGCAAGGAAAAGTATGAAGGCAAGTGAGTTTCCAATGTGACTGGGACTAATGAAACCTTTATCAGGATTTGTCAAATTTCCAAAAGTATTTTCTTCTGGCTTATGCATTCTTCAAGTTCTGTGTATAAAACATACTAGAACAAGAAGCTAATGTTTTGCTGTTTGGGGATTATTTCTTACTGCAAAGAAAATTATAACTATGATACAAAACCGATCAAAGATACGAAAAATATTTTTAAAAAATGTAAGCAATCAGTGGAAATAATTAAGACACAAAATGTGTACTATAATACATTGGGCAGATCCTTCAATGTAGTATAAGACACTGCAGATTCTGTGTATTATAATGTGATTGACTGATTAAAGAATTACAATGAAACTGATCACAGATCTGCACACTGAAATGTAAGTGATAACATTCAAATATTAAAACTGACACAGCAGTTGACACAATGGGCTAACACAGCAAGGATTGTGAAGGTAACAGAGGACCAGGCAATGCTCTGTTACACATAGGTAGCTATGAGTCAGAAGTGATTTCAGGCACCTAACAATAACAATGACAATAACAATAATATAAAAATGAAGCTGATTACAGATTTTAGGTAGAAAAAGCCAATTAACATCTTTCATGATCAGCAAAAATGTACCTCTCCTGCTGGTACTCAGTCCTGCAGTAGGTGCACTTCACAACAGGGTGTGCAATCCGACATTCCTAAAATGAAAATATAATTTAAAAGGTGATCACAAATGGAAACAGCCCACACCAGGAGGCAGAAGACCTGGGTACTAATCCTAGCCTAGCCACTGTATTTTGAGTAACTTTGAACAGTTACAGGCCTTATTTTTATCTTCTGTAATATTGACACTGCCCTGCCCATCATAAAACATTCATGTGAGCAGTAAATAAGAAATTAAACTGTAAAGTAAATGTATTCTTGAAAAAGCCCAAGACTGGGAACCAGAAGCCCTGGATTTTAGGCCACTGTGATTTTGAACAAGTTGACTTGTAAAATTAAAGTGCGGAATTAAAATAAGACAATTTAATGAAGATAAAACTTACTTAACGTTAAATATACATATGTACGTATATAAACATCTTTTGAAGCCAAAAAAGAAAGAAAGAAGCACTTAAGTTCTCTCCAATCTACTATTTGTTTAAATAGTGGCAAAAGGTCACGGTTGAGGGAACAGTGACATACAATTCTGAGTTATCCACGTAAGAGACACAAACTCGGAATTAATTGGGCATAGCTCAACATCACTCTCCAGCTGGCTAGGTGACTATTGCCTCACAGTACCTCTATACACTTAAACAGGAAACGTATAATTGGAAAAAGGCAACTTGGCCCTTCAGGGGCAAAAAACAATGATCAGCAGCAGGTTAGGGTGAGAACCGAAGGCCACCAACAGGAAAATGAAAAATCACCCTTTTGCTTCATGTGCTTAATTGGGAGGTTTTCTATACAAACTTGTCACCTTCGATTCTAGGACTCACTGCAGAGTGCCACTGTGGGGCCCGCGTTCGACATGCTTCTCCCAAGTAGCACCTTACACTAGAGTTCAGTCCCAGGAGGGGCAGGGAGACCGCGGTATACGGGAAGCCCAAAAAGGATCCCAGCTACGGCTGATCAGCAACACACAGGGTACCAGTTCTCCCCTCCCCCGACCTCACGGGGTCGGAGAACAATCCCCCGCGGTTGCTAAGCACCGGAGTACGCCGGCCGCCAGGACCTGGGACTTCCCCACGTGCCCCGTCGGCCCCCCAGCTGGGCGGGAGCTGCTCGGCAGCAAGACGGGTCTGCCACACCCAGCCCGCGAGACCCTCAGGGTATTCCCAAGAACTAGGAGCTCCCGGCCGCGCCTGCAGCTTCCCCGGTTCCCGGCCGCCGCCCCAGCCCGCACACCTTGCACAGCTGCTGCCCCTGAGACAGCGCCTCGAAGGGGAAGCGCTGGTGGCACTTGGTGCAGGCGTAGAGCGCCGCCATGTCCTGCTCGGGCTGTGTTCACCACCCCGCTGGGGGCCCGCTGCTTTATCTGACAGTCTGAAGCACAATCTGGCGGCAGCGGCGACAAGCTACAAGCTGCGCCAGGCGGGCAGGCGCGGGCGGAGCAGGGTGGGCGCAGTGACGGTGAATGCCGGGTCACTGGTTCATTTTGATGTCGATCAAGCAGAAAAAGGGCGGAACGCGGGGCTTTGGAAGACTCTGATTCGGTCTTGACAGCTGTACGCCACTTGTGACGCGCGAGGCCGCGATTATGTAAAGCGCAGTCACGCGGGGACGTCGCCTGGAGCGGCGGTCTTCAGACTGCGATATCCGAAGCGCCGGGCTCGCTCTTACTTGGCTCTGCGTTCCCGCCCTCGCTCCTCCTCTTCCCGGTCGCGGGCGTACCCACGGCTCTCGCGAGACCTTTGTTGAGTTGTGATCTTTTGGTTTCCACGGAACTGCCCTCAGGAAGTGGGAGGAGTGTGGTGGAACCTAGTCCAGTTTATTGTTGAATTTACCTGAAGAGCTTGGGGGCTAGTCAGAAAACCCCTTCATCTCTAGGACTGGAGGGCCTTAGCACTTCCACCCAAAGGAGAAGAGGAAACCCTGAAGGGTGACTTGGGGGATTTCATCCCTTTGAGATCCCTAAAGGAGGGGACTTTTAGGGCCAGTGACTTCCAGAGAGAAAGGGAGAGGCCCCTGAGAGAGCACCCTCATGCTGCGGAAAAGGGATACTAGAGAAATGGCAGTCTTCCAAGGAAGAAGAGACAGGATATTAAAGAGAGGCCTTCCATCCCTTAAGAGTGCCCCCTCGGGGTGGTATGCAATCGTCCTGCTTCCCACCCCATTTTCTCTACTTATGCCCCAGCTTCCCTCATTGAACAACTACCTAGAGTTTCCCTGAAGGGTTTTGTCCCGCACCGCTCCCCTCCCCCTAAAAAAAGCAAACCACACCCTTCTGGCTCTGCTCCTCTGCGACTCCAAGCTTGATGTATGAATGGTCCGCCCAGAGAATTATGGACTTACTGTTCTTGAGTCTTTGGCAAAGCTCCAACATTGATGACCTTTCCAAATCCTTGCCCTGGAGCCGCTTTTGGGCTTAGATTTCTTTGGGTTATGCTAACTGCCACTAAGGTACTAATTGCAGCTTTCCCCCAAAGTGAGCTTTTTGAAATTGAGGGAGTTTTTATGATTCTTGGCCCTTGTCCTTAGATAGTATCTACTGTCTTTGAAACAAAGAAGCTCTGGGCTGCTAACCTCAGGGTCAACAGTTCGAAACTACTAACTGTTCCAACGGAGAAAGATGAGGCTTTCTGCTCCCATAAAGATGTATATCTCGGAAACCCTATACAGGACTCGCCGGAACCGATTACACGGCACATAACAACAACCTAAAATCCAGTGTGTATTCACCTGGAATCAGAAAACAAAGATTCACATCACTGCTCCCTAGCTCCTAGATATGGGATCTTGTACCTATTACTGAGGAGCCCCTGAGTGGCACAAACGGTTAAGCGCTGAATTTGTTGGAGTTGGAGTCTCATAAAGACTCCGTATAGATGCATTTGAATCACCAACTTTAAGGTTAGCAGTCCAGTTCTTAACCTACAGAGACACACCAAGAAGCATTGGTCTACTAGTTGAAAAACTGGCAGTGTGAACCCAACCAGAGACACCTCAGAAGAAAGTCCTGGTAATCTGTTTCCTAAAAGTTACAGCCTTGAAACCCTTATGTTCTACTCTCCACACACGAGTCACCATGACCCATGGTGGAATCCATATTATGACTACTAACAACACCACTTAACCACTGAACTCAGAACCTCACTTTCCTCAATTGTTGTTGTTGTTGTTGTTAAGTGCCATCGAGTCGGTTCCGACCCATAGCGACCCTGTA